GGGTTAGGGTTATACAGTTTCGTATAATATATTTTGATTACTATTATTTAATAAATAATTGTTATTATATTTATATTTGTTATGTATGTAATAATAATGATTATATTCATATATAATATACATCTAATATTTAACAAACAAACAAACAAACAAACAATAAATAAATAAATGGGATTTGTTTTGCTTCTTTTTTTTTCATTTCTACATGCAAGTAACCAACAGTGATTGTCCTTATGATAGCAACTTTATCCACACTCTCGCTGATGTAGCCAGTGACACATGGTGTGCAGGGCTCCATTAGAACTGAATGGAGTGTGAATCCCATTGTCTCCTGAAGTGGACAGTGAGATCTATTGTTCTTCTGAGATTAAGGGACTTGTTATTACTCTGGGACCACTTTGTCTGACACCTAGTGAGTATGCACTTCCATTGTAACAGCTCGGTCCGCCAATTACTTTAGTGTCATGGGTGGATTTGATCGTGTTGTAGTTGCTGTGCCACCTCAGTAACCGGGGTGAGACAGCTGCTATTTGAAATCTCCATCTATAGGGTGTGTTCAGGAGGCTATGGCTTTAGCACATTTTACTAGAACAATTCATTACATTTAGTTTATTTCTCTATTCTGCAGCAATCGAACAAAGTATCGAGCAAGAGGAGGGGTTGAACAGATCATCTGCAGATTTGCGGATCCGCAAGACACAGGTATGAAAGTAATTAAAAACACCAGTGTATTTTTATTCTTCTAATGATAATCAATAGTCTATTCAGTCAAATTAAAGTCATGTGAAAAATACAGACTACAACATATCTCTAACAAGTTAAGGAACTTGACAAGGATGAACTGATTTATTTGTCAGTTTAGTTTTTCTTTGTCAAGCAACATTACAACTTTGGCATGATTTAATTCAATATTAATTTTTTTATAATATTAGTCTTACTTTTTAGCGTCTTTTTAAGTTTATTTACAAACTGGTGAATGGAGGACGCCGCATTCTGAGCTGTTTTAGATGTTTGTTGTGGGTTTCGTGATACATGATATAGATGGAATGTAAACACACAATTTATGCGATTGAAAGAGCACAAAAATCTGACTAAGGCTACGTTTACACGACATTGATGTAGTCGAAAACGGAAAAGTTTTTCCCTTGCGTTTTTTAAAAAGTTTCACGTATACATGACGACGTTTTCAAAACGATTCGCGTTTACACATATCTGCGAAAACGGCCAAAAACGCTGTATTATGTATGCCAGGCCAGTAGTTGGCGCTGTCACCTTGTTAGTAAACAGTACCTGTGGGGAAGTGACGATTATATGTTGTATATGATGCATCTCCACTGTTGGTTGTAATATTGGTGAAGTAAATCCACACTTTGCTGAAGAAGCGTTAGCAAACTCTCGAGCAGCAACAACAGTCCGCCATTGTTGTGTATGTTTGTTCGCGTTTGCCTTTAAAATTGAAACGTACTGCACATGTATACATACCTAACACGTACTACGCACATGCATGACATCACCGTTTTCAAAGATTCCAGTTTTAGGTGTTTACACGGAAATGATAACGGTGGAATTTTCAAAAACTTGCACTTTGAAACCTGTTTTCAAAAATATGCGTTTTCAGTCCCCAAAACGCCGTTGTCGTGTTAACGAACAGGCAAAACCCATAAAAAGTTTCCCGTTTTTGGCTGAAAATGTTGTCGTGTAAACGGCCCCTAAACCTCCTATGACAACTTGTAGTGTTATCATCGAGGCTGAGAAAAGAACACAACGCTGCAGACAGGTGCCGTTATCGCTGTTTTCCATGCTCGTGGAGTAAATGTGTTTACATGGCTTTTTAAAAATGCCGGGTAGCCGGTGTTTCATATGCGTTTGGCCTATCAGCGTACACTGCGTCACTGAGAGTTCCTATAGAACTGTTTTAGACCCTACTCTGAAGTAGAAGGTGAATTAGTTCCCCCAAATGGAGTTCCTAGTACTAAATACATTCCTGCGGTGAGAATGCGCCAAAAAGCGGGAACTTCCGCCAATAGTTCTAGGAACTATGGAAAGGTTCCTCAGGTCCGAAAGCGCCTTTTAATATCCACAGCACCTTTTCATTCCACAAAAGGTTCTTTAGATCATTAAAATGTTCTTCACACTAAGAACAAACGGTTCTTTTGAAAACTGTTCTAACTTACTAAAAATGGTTCTATATGCAAATCACTGCAAAAACCCACTTTAGGTACCTTTATTTTTAAGAGTGCAGATGTCCACATCAAATGTGCCATCCGGTTCCCATGTGAAGCATATTCAAATATTTCCTTACAACCTAGCTTATAGTCTTTAGGCATCTTTACACCTTGATTGCACAAAATTCAGTATAAAGATGCAGTGCTGCATCAAACCCAGCCTGAATTATGCCTGCTCAGACCCACCTCAGCCCCTAGTATCAGGTATACTGTTGGAACTGCTGTGTAAATGCATTTGTGGCACCTCTGAGCAGCATTATACAGTCTGTGTAAAGACACCTAAATGCCGCTTCAGAAGCGCTGGTAAATTTGCCATTTTAGGAATGAATTCAGTACAAATGTATGTTTAATAATAGTAACTTGCTCTTGACCTCCTGCCATGTTTTCAGATCAAAATGGACTCCCAGATGACCAAGCAGGCACTAAATGAGATTGAGACTCGACACACTGAGATCATTAAGTTGGAGAACAGCATCCGTGAGCTGCACGACATGTTTGTGGACATGGCCATGCTGGTGGAGAGTCAGGTACAACACAGAAAATTACACCTTTCACCACAGCAAAAATGACAGGAGGCGGAAGAAAATAGTCAAACAAATGTTAGCAGTGTTATCGCTTCACAAAAGAGGCATACAAATGAGGGTTGATTTGAGATTTTCTTTTTATATTCTAATTATCATGGCCAATACCAGAAGAATTTACTTAAATAGTCCACCCAAAATAAAAATTCTGTCATTATTTACTGACCCATATGTAATATTGCTAGTATTGTTTATATCACTATAGTTTTGTTTGTTAATATGTAGAATTTTCGATTTTCAGTTTTCATTTTAATTTTCTTTAAACTTATATTAATTGTATGTGCTTATAGTAATTTTGTGTGCTTTTCTCAATTTTATTAGATTTTATTTATTTTTTCCCTCATCTTTAATTTTTATTTTCGGTCTTAGTGCTTCAAAATATCTTCACATAAAACTATTTAAAATGTTGCCAATTAAATATTTTAATTTGTTCAGTTATTTTGAAGTTTCATCTACTTTTTCTGTAAATTTTTTCTTTACTACAGTTACGGAAAACTTTTTTTTTTTTTTTTGGTGGAACACAAAAGTAGATTTTTTTTGCCTTTTCCATCATTTTTATGAGTTTTTTTTTTATTCCTTATCTTTAAATTTTATTTCGGTTTTAGTACATCAAATGAATTTTTGCAAATTAAACATGAAATGATTTTGCAAATGAAACATTTTAATTTTTGATTACTTCAGTTTCCCATCTAATTTTTATATTTATTTTATAAGAGTTTTATTTCAATTATTGAAAACAAATTGTAATCGTTTTAGTTTAAATTATAAATAGCACTACACTGCTTGCATGTTTAATGTTTTTTTTATTCATACAACTTTCCATACTATTCATAAATGTCTCATCTATTAGGCTACAAAAAAAAAAAGATACACCATTGATAGACATTTATATACCATTTTAAAATTCTGTTTGTGAACACTGGCTAGACAAAAACTAGACAAGTCCTTGAAGTGCACTGCGCTGCAAAGTGATGCTGACTTTCAAATGTAATTCACAGATAGCAATTTATTTCTTCCTCCACGACCAAGAACAGGTGAAATGATTTACACGGCACAGTCCCTGTCCTCATCTATCAGGCTACAAAAAAAAAAGATACACCATTGATAGACATTTATATACCATTTTAAAATTCTGTTTGTGAACACTGGCTAGACAAAAACTAGACAAGTCCTTGAACTGCGCTGCAAAGTGATGCTGACTTTCAAATGTAATTCACAGATAGCAATTTATTTCTTCCTCCACGACCAAGAACAGGTGAAATGATTTACACGGCACAGTCCCTGTGGATCAATCTGGGGTTAAGGGCACTCAAGCATCACTGCTTGTGGGTTTTGAAATCAGGCTGCACGAAGCACAAAGAATTTAAGGGATCTTAACTTGCAACACTTAAACACAGAAGTATGTCTAATAGGGAACAGTCTTTGTGTGACTTGTGCATTGCATACAGTAATCGTAAATGTGTGCCTATTGTGAAGACGTTTGTTTGAAGTGCCTTTTTTGTCATTCACAGGGAGAGATGATTGACAGAATTGAGTATAACGTGGAACACTCTGTGGACTATGTAGAGAGAGCAGTTTCTGACACCAAGAAGGCTGTCAAATACCAGAGTCAGGCACGCAAGGTAAAACACCGTCAGCTGTTACACCTAACGTCTTTAAGTATTATGCCGTTTGTGTACAATGCCTTTCTAGAGAATGCAGTCACAAGCTGTCGAGTAATAGACGAGTAATAGAAGAGCATTTAAAAATTATTCCTAAACCATTTAAACCGTCCACAGAAACACTATATTGCTCCTTTGGCACTCATTGGTTCTTTAACAGATGCCGTCTGTTCCAAGATTTTTTGCTGCAGTTTTGCTGGCTAACAGACAGTGCAGTGTGGTGGTCTAAAGACTGCAGACTCTTGGTGTTATGCCACTTACTTCTGAGCTTTCTGATGAGTCAAACTGCAGAAATGGGGTGGTTAGATTCTTACCGGCCCCATAGATATTTGCTAATAGTGAACTGCTGGTGAAACTTAATAGGTAAATCATTAAGTCTTATTGTAAAGTATTAATAGATTAGAATTGTTAATTATGGAAGCCCCTTTCCGCCATGAAGTAAAAACTAAAACAGGCAATTGCGACTTTTTCTTTCAAAATAGGTACTTTTATTTGTAGTTGAGTTTATATCTGACAATTTGGACTTTGTTTCTCAGAATTCAAACTTTTTTCTCACAATTATGAGTTTAAATCTTGTAATTCTGGCTTTTTTTTCGTAGCATTATAAGTTTATCTCTCGCAATTCTAACTTTTTTTCTCAGAATTCTTTCCAGAAATACAATTCTGAGATTACTGTATGTCTCACAGGAAATAAATATGAATTGTGTGATATAAACTTACAATTGCAAGAAAAAAAGTGGTGGAAACAAGCTTCAATAGATAATTGATCGATCTGCAATTATTTGCAGGTTATTAACTTGCGATACAAGGGGTCGCAAATTCACTAGCCAGAAACTGCCGGGCAAATTTAATTGGCAATAAATGTCAGTAATGACTGAAAATTAATATTTTTGTCAAGCTAGCTGGCTGCATCCAGGAGTACCGTTTGACTGATTACAGTATGGTATTATTTCATTTGTCAGCAAAGTTCAAACAAAAGCATATGTTAAGAGTAGTGTTAATGGTCTATATGTATTGTAAAGACCATGTTCTAAGTTTTAAAATGACGACTATTTTGTGTTTGTCAAGTGAGTAGTTACTCTTTTTTTTTTTTTTTCAACAATAACTGTGTTGGTATTAGGGATGAATCGATCCGATACTCCGTATCGGTATCGGCTCCGATACTGGCATTTTCTGTCGGATCGGGTATCGGTCAGACAAGACCGATCTAAATCCAATATAGTGTGTATACTATTCTGTGTTATTGTTAAGCCCCACGAAAGGCACAAAAACATTATAAAGCACCATAATGTTTTTGTGCACTATATTTCAAGTGTTCTGAAGCCATTCCATAGTTAATGTGAAGTATAGATGAATATTTAAGTCAAGTTCACGTAAACTCTTTTCTCCGCTGCGTCTATCTGTCATCCTCCATTCAGCATTCAAACTGCGTGTCGCGTTCGGTTACTACAGTCAAAACAATGAAACGCTCTTCAAGAGCGCACAATAACTGATATTTAAAACTGTTAAAAGAAAAGGCTCAATAAAATATTGCACAGATATAATACACTACGCAGCAATATCTCTTCCCTTTTTTATGCGTAGCGCTGCGCTGTGACTCCATGTTGCTTCAAGCGTATCATTCTACACACGGGATGCGCATAAGCACTTTGTGCCGCTCTGTATTCATAGCTTTCAGTCATGACCGGCTCGAAGACTTGGAGGGCAAAACATCCATAGAACTGCAGCACAAGCCTGTCAATTTTCCATCTGTTTCCCAGCCACCAATATTTAGATCACCTCTCAATTTTCAATTTCAATTTCAATTTTTTTTTTTTTTTCAAAGTTTTTAAATTCCTTGTTTTTATTGTTGTGATTATTGTTTTTATTTTATTTTATGTAAAGCACTTTGAATTACCATTGTGTATGAAATGTGCTATACAAATAAACTTGCCTTGCCTTGCCTTGCCTCAAAAGATTAAAACAAAAGGTATGTGTGAACAAAATGCAAGTTTTGGCCATTTGCAATCCATATTAAGCACCCGCGGCAATATTTCAATCATTATACAGTGCGACAAAACGTTGTAAATACACTTAAAGTGCCTTAATATATTTAAAACATCAAAGATATTTAAAAGATCAAATTCAGTAATCACCATATTAATGATGCATAGTTTACATAGGCAAGCAGATGAGGCCGGAATATGAACGCAATCCTTGGGGATATTAAGTTTGATGAAAACTGAAATGGTTCAGTGTTTTCCTTATAATGGTTTTCTATGGGAAACAATTTAATGTGACACTTTGCATATTGTGTTTCTATTCTGGGTTCATCTGCTTGCCTGTACAAAATATACATCATCAATAAAGTGTTTACTGAATTTCGCCTTTTAATATCTGCGTTTTACTACTTTACTACTTAATGCAATCAGCGTAATAATAACTGGCGGTCAGTGGAGCAAAGCTTCGTTTTGCCCTCCAGGTGGGCGTTCCTATAAGGGTGTGAAGTCACGTGAAAACTATCAATTGGAGCCATACGCTTTCGTATTTTACTTTTGCGCAATGAAAGATTATCAATAGTCTTTTTTTTCTGTTCAATCAATCATATGTTGCTACCTTCATTACTGTGCTATGCATTTAAAAGAAATGTCTTTTAATTTTATAGTATATATTTTATACATACACACATATATATACAGTGGGTACGGAAAGTATTCAGACCCCCTTAAATTTTTCACTCTTTGTTATATTGCAGCCAATTGCTAAAATCATTTAAGTTAATTTTTTTTCCTCATTAATGTACACACAGCACCCCATATTGACAGAAAAACACAGAATTGTTGACATTTTTGTAGATTTATTAAAAAGGAAAAACTGAAATATCACATGGTCCTAAGTATTCAGACCCTTTGCTCAGTATTTAGTAGAAGCACCCTTTTGATCTAATACAGCCATGAGTCTTTTTGGGAAAGATGCAACAAGTTTTTCACACCTGGATTTGGGGATCCTCTGCCATTCCTCCTTGCAGATCCTCTCCAGTTCTGTCAGGTTGGATGGTAAACGTTGGTGGACAGCCAACATAATATTTACAAACTGTACATGTAAATGTATTGAACATAAAGCAGCACATGGGTTACTACCTGTAAAGGGATAAAAATCCATTTTTGTTTTTATTTTATTTTTTTAGCGTTGCTTTCATTTTTGGGGGGGCCTCCAGGACAGTGCCAGCAACTGCTAAATTGTTTTCCATTCCGACAGAACATGGTGTTTGGCAAACCATACTAGCATTACGAATACTAACCAACTGACTGCATAGATATTATAGATAGTAGTTTTAGTCCGATTTCAATGGCCTAACATTCCGAGTGGTTGCTTGCATTCAGATGAAATCTCTCATCGTTACATTATTAGCTCATTACCGATGAAGTGCTGTAGTTTTCATACATTTACTGTGGGCAACCGTAAACAAACAAAGAATAAAAGAACTAAGAAGCACACATTTCGAATTGTGAGAGGAATTGATATCACCAAGCTTGTACATGAAGATGATTTTGTTTTTACTTCATTTGCTGTAGGCAGCAGAGGAACGGACATTTCATTTTAACACGTTTCAAAGCTACACTGGGATAGATAGAGTGGCATTGCGCAAACTGTTGAACTATGCAGTCTTGATAGTGATTTGCCCCTGCTTTTTGAATTAATTCATGAAAAGATTCTGAAAGACGATTTCTTATAAGGAAAATTTTGAGAAATGTTAATACTTGAAGCAACGCCTAGCCTAAATATTATCTTTTGGAGGGGGGTTAGGTCTGCTGAAATGAATTTTCCTTATTTTACGTTAGTTTTGCGCCTTTTTTATTTGCCTTGTTTCATAAATTGCATATATATTTTACATTATAATATAAAGGATGGGCTTGAACAGGACCGTTTTGGTTTTGAAGGATCATTTTGAGAGTTTGCTTGACGTTTCACCTTGGTGCTAGTTTATGAAGAGAGAGTAATAAAATTAACTACGGGGACGTGATAGACACTCTTAGACCCTTATTGTTAAATTCTACATATCTGAAACAATGGGAGTAGGTGCAGTGCAGATGAGCTATCTGATGAAATATTTACCTGTAGATGCATTCTTCAGTTCAATTGAAGAAACTTGTACGGCTGGTCAGGACACTTATTATGCAGTGATTAAATAGAAAGACATTTACACAACAACTTTATATGAAATAACTTAAATTTAGCTCTGAACGCCCAGAGAGACGGCATCTTGTTATGATAACTCTAGCTTAGAATAGGACGCTTCGATTTTGTCCAAAGATTATTTCTTAAATCAAACAGCTGCATCATGAATTCGTTGCATCCTTTTCTTTGTGGACAGAAAGTGCCAGATTGGTTAATTATGTACTGCTTGTTTTAAATTCAAGGGCTAAAATTTAAAACCAAACTTTAGCCCAGGTTTTTTTTTTTGTTTTCTTTTGATGAAGAATCCCTCTTGGCTTGATTCAGATTCGTTGCACTCTTAGAACGCCCTTACCCTCATGTTCATGACGTTCATGACATGTACCAACTCTGAAAGTGCACTCCTTTTCTCAATACGGACTTCATTTTCCATATACTGCTCATCATAGAATATATAACAGGAGCCCCCCCACCCCGTCCCACCACCCCTTTACCTACCCAAAGCAAAGTAGTAGGGAACAGGAATGGATTTTGGGGATAAATACTGTACACTTTTTACAAAGCCTGAGGCAGAGGGCCGGGACTATTTTGCTTTAATCATTCCAGTAACGTCCAGCATGTTTTCTTTGAAACTTCTGTGTATTTAGTGTCGAATCACTTACATGTATGGTAAAATGAGGTAAATATGTATGTCGGTGTTGTTTTTTAGTAGACGATATAGCTGGAAGGCCCTTATTTGTTAACGCATGCAACTTTCGCTTTGTTAGTTTGCATGGCTCTCGATCATGTGTGCACTTTACAATCAAAGAAAACAATGTCGTATGCCGCCACATTTTTTGGGTTGTACCGTTTTCCGTTTTGTTAATATGTTTGTTTTTTAAATTTATGATGATTTATTATGAC